GTGCCTTATTTTTTTCCTAATTACTTGTTACCCCCCCTCCCACCCCAAAACACCCATCCCAACCCATTTACCTCCCCAACATTTTGTAGAAAAAAAAATTGGCCTGAACCGGGCCCGGACGGCCAGGCCGGTTCATTGTTTTGGAGACCCGAAGCCCAGCCCAAACAGTAGCGGTGGGCTTCGGGTCTCCAAAACAATGAACCGGCCTGGCCGTCCGGGCCCGGTTCAGGCCAATTTTTTTTTTCAAAATGTTTGAGAGGTAAATGGGTTGGGCTGGGTGTTTTGGAGGGGTTTGGGGGTGGGAGGGGGGTAGGAAGTAATTAGAAAAAAAAATAAGGCACTCGGCCAACCTGGTAACTACTCGGGCCGGTTCCGGGTGTCAATATCACAAAAAAAGCCCGGCCCGGCTTGCTCCGAGTCTATGACTATTGATGACTAGGGGTGGGCATGGTTTGGGATGATCTAATTTCTTGCCGAACTCGTACCGTACCGAGATTATTGAAATGGTCCGATTTGATTTTGTCTTAGACCTTAAACCCGTTCGGTACGACTCCCTTAAATGAGATGGTGTCATGTCAAACCTTTACCAAACAATGCTCAACTTTTTCACAAGGGATAAAGAAAGTCACTTTTTTCAGAAATAGATTTCTTAACTTTTTCTTTCGGAAATGGATCATGTATACTAGTATATGTACTTCTTATGAAGCAATTCAGTTGTGTATCCTAGCTCCCTGGTTTAAGAGCACACGTGTGTCTCTTTTAATTAAGTACTATATGGCTCATTAACTAATTATTAATTAGAGAATATTACCCGAAATAGAACTAAAAGGGTTTGAAAAATTCAAAATAGGATTGTCATGTTTTTATTTCCAAAATAGAACTAATTATTGCCATGTTTTGGTAATACCATACTTCAAACATTGCTGTATTTTCTAAACTTGGTAGTAATTACTCGTATTTTGGGAATAAAAACATGACAATCCTATTTCGAAATTTTCAAACTATTTTAGTCCTATTTCGGGAACTCTCCCTTATTATTATGTCATTAACTAATATACGTAGTACAAGTTCTAAGAATTACTCCGTGTTTATTTTTTGTTTTTTAGAAATAATCAAATTTAAATATTTATTAAAACATCAAAGGATATAAATAAATGGAAAGATAAATAAAGTCTTAAAAATAATAAAGAAATAAAGAAAAAGTCAAAGTAAAAACTGATATTTAAAAAGTTGTAATAAAAATGCAAATTCAACCTATAAGTCAACTTTAAAAAAATATCAATATGAAAAAATAAGATCAAATATTCTGACATTATTCAAATTATGAAAATGGATTAGAAATTTCAATGGAAGAGTAAATTTTTTTAAATCGAAATATACCCAAAGTTACAAATCTTTATAATTCAAATACAACAACATCCAAGCTTAGTCCCAAACGATGATATTGGGGTTGGTGAACATGAATTGATACATGATATCACACTCAAAAGGAAAAGAAAGAAAATAAAGATAAAAAGATAGGCTATTATAAAAAGGATAATATAAAAAGAGATTGAATACACATCAACATGTTAGAATAAATGAATAACGACAAAAATATTAATAAAACAAGAGAAAAAAAGATGAGGGGAAACGATGATATGAGATCACTCCTTCACACGAATATCCGCTCACCACTTTGTTCTCTCCAAAGTCATACCTTCATCCAACCAAGAAAGACCATATCACTTCGGACTCCCCTAACCCACATTTGTTTGAGCTTCCTCTCCCTCTCTTCCCTGCCTCTTCTCCACACATCTCAACTCGTCTGACAGGTGCATCACTCGGTCTTTTACACATGATCAAACCATCGTAGGCGTGACTTCCGCATCTTGTCTTCAATTGGTGCTACTCTCACCCTTTGTCTGATTGTCTCATTCCTCACGCGGTTCATCCTAGTATGCCCACACATCCAACACAATATGTGCATCTCTACCACGCTAATCTTTTGAATGTGACATTGTTTCACCGCCCAACACTCTACGCCATACAGTAATGCCAGCCTAATTGTTGTCCTATAAAATTTACCCTTCAGTCTAGTTGGAATATCTCTATCGCATAGAAATCCTGACGCACTCTTTCACTTCATCCACTCTGTTCTGATTCTATGAGATCCATTTAACTCACCGTCCTTCTGAATTATGAAGCCCAAAGTAATGGAACATATCGCTGACTGGTATCTTCTTACCATCTAGAGTAATTCCGCTATTACTGGTGTTTCTACGTCCACCAAACTTGCACTTCATGTACTCTGTCTTGCTCTGACTTAGTCTGAACCTCTTGTTCTCCAGTGTTTGTCATCATACTCCAACTTTACTTTAAGACTTGATTGTGTCTCATCAATCAATACAATATCATTGGCAAGCATCATGCACTACAATATATCGTATTGAATTGACTTCGTAAGTTCATCCATGACTATGACAAATAAGAAATGGCCCAAAGCTGATCCTTGGTGCACTTTGATAGTAATAGGGAACTCTGCAATCCTCCCTACAAGGGGTGGACAAATGGGTACTGGAACCGCAGGTCGGGCCCGGTAACACAGGTTCGGGCGGGTTAGGGTCGGATTCTAATTTTAGAAAACCCAAACGGTTCTGGGCGGACAGGTCCCGAAAAACTTAGGAACCGAACGGGTCTTAAAATTTGAAAAACGGGTACCTTGAATCGAACCGTTTTAAAATGTTATTTGTTTTAAAATGTTATTTTAATAAGCTCTATTATATTTAATACTTGTATAATATAATATACTAACAACACACAAAAGCTCTTTATGTTCTTGTGTCTAGACAAAGACCTCCGATTAAAGAAATTTCTCAGTCTATTAAAAATAGTTTCCAAGACCGTATAATTAAACTCCTAAATTATTTTCCTGAATTCTCTGTTCATGATGCATCAAACATTCTTTCTTTAATATTTTTGTAAACAAAGACTTCATTCAATGAAGTGTGGCACATTCATTTAATTGTCTTAATTTTACTTATACTTGAAAATTTAATAAGCTTTAAATTGTTTTCATAGACAAATATGTATAGTAACCAATTTAATTTCTTATGAATTTTTGGTGCTATCTTTTTAATTAGCTTATGAATGATGGTTAACACTTTAATTAAGGTGGTTGTGTGTTGTTTAATTTATAGATTTGTGGTTCGATATTTTGATAACTAATTTAAAATATTGTCTTATGCTTTTATTTTTAATTTTTACTATATAATGGTTAAATTAATATGTAATGAATTTGAAAATTTATAACTTACTAGAAATTATGCCTGCGTAGTCGTATTCTATTTAACAAAAAAAGAATCGAGGACATGGACCGAACCGACACATTTCAAATGGGGAGTGTAAGGTCCAGATTCTATTTTGAAACTTGGTATCCCGGATTGAACCTACCCGTTAAATATAACCGACGGTTCTCAAAAATTTATAAATTATCCGAACCAATCCGGACCGTGTCCACCCTACTCCCTACACTAGTATGGACACTTGTAGTACAATAATCCTCATACACATCCATGAGACCATGATGATGCTAACATACTTGCTAGATATGCCTTTTCTAGTTAAGGCCCACCAAAGAACTTCTCGTGATACCCTATTATACGCCTTTTCTAAGTCAATGAACACCAAATGCAAGATCCTTGTTAGCGTCTCTATACTTCTCAATGAGTTTGCGAAGAAGGTGAATGGCATCAGTTGTTGAGCGCGCGACAGACACAAAACCGAATTAATTCTCTGAAATCTTCACAACTCTTTGAAGTCTTTGCTCAATCACTCGCTCCCAAATTTTCATGGTGTGACTCATAAATCATAAGCTTAATCCATCAATAGTTGGCACATTCTTGTACATCACCTTTCTTCTTAAATAAGGGGATAAAAGTACTATTCCTCCAACTCGTTGGCATTTTGTTGTTTCTCCAAATCATATTGAAGAAACTTGTTAACCACTCGACACCTCTCTCTCCCAAACTTCTCCAAGCCTCGATCGATATGACATCTGGACTCACTGCTTTCTTCCACCCCATCTTCCTCAGAGTCTGTTTAACTTCCGTAGTGTAGAGTATGACATCCACCTCTCCTTAGTTTAACTTCTGATAGTTTAACTTCCCGATTTTAGCAAAGATGGCTAAGCAAGTGTTATCAATGTCGGTTTCAACAGTTGCCGTGGAACAAGAATTTAGTGCGGCCGGCAACGTCCTAACAGATATAGAATGAGATTGAGCGCAAACTCTCTTGAGATGCTTGTTTGCTATCATGATTGGTTGAAGGCCCAACGTAGAATTCAAGAACTTAGAATCACCCCCACCCAACACTTTATGGAGGAAACAACAACGGACGGTGGCGGAGATTCCGATTGATTACTATTTATTAGAAAATGCATTTCGTCTTTTAATTTTTTCCTCAATTCTCAATTGTAGACTTGTAGAGACTTGTAGTTCATATTTCAACTAAATATATGTTCAGTTTTTAATATGTAACACTTCTTGATTTAATTTGTTGACCTTAGTTAAAAAAACAAACCCGACCCGACCCAGCTTGCTACACATCCGGGTAGCCCGGCTCAAACCGGTACCGCCCAACACCCGAGCTGGTCCCGAGCTTCATTCCCAAAATCCCAAGCCCGGCCAGGCCCGACCCAGAACCGGAACCGGACCGGGCCGGTCCATCCCTACTTTTAGGCACCGCAAACGCGCAGCTTAAAATGTTATCAAATTCATGGACCATTAATCACATCTTTAGAACATTTTGGGTTTTAATTGTTTTTGAACAACTTTATTGCTTGGTTTCTAGTGTTGGGCATGGGATTTCGCGTAACACGCGTTACCATGCTAGTTTTAATATAAGCTTCACGCAAAATTTTGGCGAAATATATAATCTTGAGTTCAAAGAAGATATCGAGTCCAACACATTATTATAAAAATTTGACGGGAAAGTTCCCGAAATAGGACTAAAACAGTTTGAAAATTCCAAAATAGGACAGTCATATTTCGGATAGTATTCTCAATTAATTATGCTCTCAAGTCTCAAGAATGAAAAAGAACTTTCTTTCTACGTCATGGTGTATAAATTTTATAATGCCTACTCTAATCTCTAAGACAAAATAAAGAAAACACAAAAACCATTACAATGTCTCTCAACCCACACCAATGACTTGATGATACAACCAAATAAGAAATATCTCACCATTGAATCTTAATTTCACGAAATGCATGTCCATACTTGTCTTTCTTTTAATTCTTTGTCCTGATTTTGTTATCATATTAGTATGTACAATAAAGTGTTAGTTCTTCGGTACCCATATTTCAACCCCTCCTCTTTGCCAAGTGGAAAGTTTTCTTCAAGAAAAAATTGGCAGTTTTATCATTCCTGTAACAAAGCACTCTTAAGATTGTATTGGGATCTGTTCTGCTCCATTTTCCTGTTGTGGGAGGCATTGACACCTTTTGCACCATCGCACCTGCAACCCCTATCTGGCCAGTTTCACACACCATAGTGTTGAAGTCTTCTATCAATTGCTCGGTCGATTGGCTCATCAAAGATAGTACCCCTTCCACGGTCTCCGCCTCCCTGTCCACCACATCTTCCACCACCATTCCTTCCCCACATGTGTAAAACATCTTTTTTAGGCTACAAAAGTCTTCCTCGAGCATATGATGATCACTTCTACAAAACACTCTCGAAGATCCACCAGCAAGCAAAACCATGAGGTATGCCTCAAAAGTAGCCTTCATCACTTCTTTGATCGCCATTGGTTGGGCCCGTTCTGTGACGATTGCACACAAGAGTGTGAGGTTTTGCTTTAGTACTCTCAAAACGGGTTGTATTCGTGCATTCTCTACATCCTCCACATATAAACTTCCGTAGAATACGTAGTTTGAGTCAAGGAAAACTAGACGGTACGCTGAAGCTTCAGACACGTGTTGGACTGCTGCCCGAATGGCTGTCCGTGATTGTTCGAAGAATGAAATGGAGCTCGATAGGTTACTTTTCGAACGGCGAATGGTTGTAGATTGGACAACTCTTGGATTGAGGGCAAGTGTTTTATCGATGGCGTGAAGTTGCGAAAGAACATAATGTAGAGTGTTGAGTCGAATGTATAAGCGTTGTGTTCCACGGCTTGTGGATGGGCGCACTTGATTGGCATTGCTAATGAAACGATGGTTGTCACTGTACACACCTATGGTACATGAACTCGTCCTCCATAGCTTGAAAAAACGTGAGTCTTGGCTACATCTTGTTAGTGGAGGGAGAGTAGGAACATAGTTCTGTTTCGATCCTGAAACATAATTATATATATATATATATATATATATATATATATATATATATATATATATATATATAGGATTAAAGCAAAAGTAGTGTTAATACAGATGTCTTTATTTTAGTGGAATGATTTATTTAGATATAAAAATGAATAAAAGTTTAATAATTAGTTACTTTGAAGTGAATGAGTTCGATATTCAAAGAAAAAACTAAAGAGACTCGTATTTAAAAAGAGCAATCCCATACACGATAAATATAGACATTCAAGAAAGTTAGAAAGTTAGAAACACAATAAATATGGACTATCCTATGTGGTAGTGTTGCACTACTATTGAGCGATAGAAAGTTAGAGACATGATTTTCACTCATTTACTATATGTGAGATATGAATATCTTTCTAGAATATCTACATTTATTGTCTATAATCAACACTCTTAAAAACATGTGTAATGGTTTTGTCTCGTGTGAGGAATTTTCCCATATGCGTAGTACAAACTAAGAACACATCCCTTCTGTTATTGGCTTAGCTTTTAAAGTAATATCACAAATAATAGTTGGAAAACGTGCTTTTAAAGTCATCATCACAATCTTACCACATGATTCAACAAAGGCAATGTAGTCGCAGAAAACGTGCTCCATGCCCTCGGCTAAATTCTGAACTAAATCTTCTGTTATGCTAATCGGAAGTTCAAAGAAGTTGTCTACCACTTCTTTAGCTTGCTTCATCAATTCTACCGCAGATTGAGCATATGGCTCATTCTTGGACTTTGGGTTCCATGTCTGAAGATTCAAAGGCTACTGATCAAAAGATGTTCACAAGAACTTGTACATCAAGATTCAAAACTTGAAAATCATCACAACCCCCCCCCCCCCCCCCCCCCAAAAAAAATCTTATTTGATGGGTTTAATATTTATTCGGATGGTTTAGGTTATATAACTAGCCCAAACATGATTTGGTCAGTCCTTGAAGCAGGCCAAAAGATTGAAGGACTAGTAGGACCAAAACTCATCCAAATAAAATAAATGACCTGACCTAGCCTTACCTGATGTGATCCTACCGCTACACTTCACTTTTTCATCTAAAACTACTCAATACATTAATACATACCTCTGTGTCTTTTGCTCTCTCAAGAATGTCCCTACCAATCTTCACCTTATCTTGAATCCATTGTCGAACCAGACCTAATATGATCGACTCAACTTCATATGGAACCATTTCTCTCACAATGGCTTTCCCACCATCCTCGCATTCAACTGAGTCCTCAACCACCATTTGAACCAGCATATTTTCTAGCTTTCCGGCTCTCTCCAGGACTTGAACTGTCTCATTCGTGATAGATGTTTCGCTCGCAAGGTACTGCTTTAGCAAAGTCCCGTAGCACGTGTGTAGCGTTACGGCTGCAACTCCAACTGCAACTGGGTGCCATTTCTTAAGTGAAGAACTGAAAATATCTTTCTCCTTAGCTGCCAACTCTTCTGTCACATTTGCTAACTTTATTAGGGTGTCACTCACTTCTTGCATCTCAAACATCGTGCCATTAATGTTCATATCCTCCAACACCTGTTTTTTAAATAAAAGCACAGTGATTCAAGAACATTTTTTAGCTTTCCAATAAATAAAAGCGGATAAAACACCAACAGTTTTTTATAAACAGAAGCGGATATTATAATAGGTTTGGAATGATGTACAAAAAAAAGAACATGTTTGTATTATATTCATATTATTAACCTTTTTGGATAAGAAAATTAATATTGGTTAAAGTTTGAACTTAAAGTCAAAGCAGAATTAGCAAATGTGGGATAGTGTAAAGTGTAAGCTAACCTTTGCAAATGCACTTCTCATGGAAGACCGGATGTAGTGATCCACCCTGTTTCCTGCTGTTCTATCTCCAACACCATTGTTAATGACATAACCAGGAACATCCTCTTCCAAGATTTTTGTGGCCAAGAAAACCAATGGAAGAACACTTTCCATCAAACCAACATTTCCCTTGTCAAAACTGCCATGATAGTCAAGCAACCTCTTTTCTGACCATCTTTTCATTGAACTCAAAACCTTATCCAACATCTTCACATAAATGGGTTCCCTGTCCAGTTTCTTGGCATCATTTGCAACTTCAGCTAACATAGCCAGAGATGCTCCAAGAAGATCAGGCTCAACCTGCCCTGTGTTAAAGTACTGCTCAAAAAGAGCCCAAGTGAAGCATAAGTTGTGAATTGACCTGTTTATCCCCAGAGTTGACCAAGTCTTCTTCATGAGCTCCAGCAACTCATCAACCTCGTCGAGGACCAAGGTGTCATCTTTCGTGTCAAAAACAGAGGAGAGGAGGGCGATGTAGATGTGAATGTTGAGAGGGTATCCGTCGGCCCAGTGGCAAATGTCGGCGGCCGTGGAGCCGTCGTCGGCGTTTCTCCAGGCTAAGGAGACGACGGAGTTGACGAGGTTTCTCATGGGCTCAGAGTTTTTCCCGGTGTCGAGTGGCTTGGCGTCGGCGGACTGAATGACGTTCCGGAGAGTGGCGGCGGATGGGTTGGACTTTTCAAGAGGGACGGCGGGGTGGAGGAGGATTCCGGCCTCGAGAATCCTGAGCTGGCGTTGCTGCCAGATGTGGTACTCGCGGGGGTCGTTGAATTCGGAGGGTTTGAGGTGGCGGAGAAGCTCCAGTGGAAGGATGATCGTCTCTGCCCGCCTGCCCATCTGTTCAAATTAACATCGACTTAAAAATGATGTTTATAGGCTGATTTGTATTTTTAGACCTAATGACCTTAATTTACTCTTGATGTCATATTAAATTTTGTAGTTTGATCTTAAAAATCTATGTAAAAACTTAGAGGGTGTTTGGATTTGATTCGGTTTGTGTGCTTCTTTTTAAAATCACAAGTAGAATAGAATCGGTTTTCAAAACACGGTCTCCCCAAACTTTTAAAAACTGTTTTTATGAACATTTTGAAACACCTAAAAGTACTTCTGCATTTTCACCAAACAGTCCAATATACGAAGTATGTTTATGCTCTTTGAAGGAGCAAAATCAGTTTTAAAAAGCAGATTCAAACACCTCATATTACTTTTTTAAAAACATTTTGAGAAAAATACTCGTATTTATTAATTTTGCCTCATTCAACTTTGTCAAATTGATATTGAGTGTAAAATTTGAATAGTAAAAATTGTATGATTGAAAAATGAGCACGACATAAAAGGGAGTACAATTTTAGCTGAAACACTTGTTACTTCGTAGTTAGACTTTAAAGAGTATGAAAGTATTTAGAGGGAAAATGCTTATAATTCTTATAAGTACTTTCTATTAAGCAACAAATCAACAATAATCCAAAGATTACGTACCTGGCCAACAAGAGTACGCATGAGAGTTTTACGTAGCCGATTATCACTTTGCTCCGTCACTTTCATTTGCCTTCGCATGATCTCAGCCGATGTCATCGGCCGCCTCCCCCGCCCTGGCACCGTGAAGTTCATCCTTGGAGATCCACCGTTGCCGGAGTTGGGTGACGACGGCAATGACCCGCACGAGTTGGCTCTCCGGGATGGCGACCGCCTCAACATTTTCAACCCTAGCGCCCGCTTCACCCTGCTTGTCACCGCCATTCCTACGCCCTGCCCGGGTACCTATACTACACTAACGTTAGATTAGAGTTACAGATGCAAAACTACAAATTACATACAAAAGTATACATATGTACGCTGACTCAATATTTTTAATGAAATTTTTTGAGCATATTCTTCACAAAGATTAGATTATGTTCATCAAATTTAAGCAAAAAATCGATCGAGAAGTCACTTAAACAAATACATACTCCGTATGTGAGAATAACTGTGCAAAAAATATATACTCCTTCCGTCCCTTATAACTTTGCGAACTTTCCTTTTTTGGTTGTCCCAAAAACTTTGCCACTTTCTCTGTTATTCAATCAATTTGTGGCTCATGTTATTTATTTCTCCTCTGTACAAATCTCTACCACACAGTTTTTACTTTATTATTCTACGTGTCGGTCAAACTTGGCAATCTTTTTAGAGACGGAGGGAGTATTAAAACACATGGTTAAATGCATAAATAGTACTCCCTCCGTCCCGGTCATTTCTTCCAACTTTCCTTTTTGGACCGTCCCAATTAATTCTTCCAACTTCCATTTTTGGAAAAAATATGTGGTTAACATTCATTCACTTTTTTCTTACACAACTACAACCATACATTTTCACTTTATTCTCACTACCTAAATTTGCGATACCGATCAAAACCGGAAGAAATGATCGGGGCAGAAGGAGTACATTAACTATTGGTATTGTTGTATTTTGATGCCTTAACTTTTAAGTGAATCAAATGAGTATCATAATTATACATAAATGGTTCATTAGACAATATTATTCAAATCTGTGGTTGAAAAAACATACATCGCAACCGGAATTCTAAGCATAAACATACGTCGCAACCGGCATGTAGATTTTTTTGACTCAAATTTGAATAATATTGGCATTTGAAACTTTTATACTCCGTATATAATTATGGTACTAATTTGATTAATTTGAAACACAATAATATCACTGGTTAAAGTATCATTCATGCATTTAACCTTAAAGACGCAATTATTTTGAAAATTTAAATTGGAAACATTTATTCAAATGTTGTAAGTTTTCAGATGTTGTAACTAACTAAGTATATTCAAAAAAAAATGTTGTAACTAAATAAGAACAAGAAGATATTATTAGACGTCCTTTAATTTCGCATCAATTTCTTATATTTTGGTCGTTATTAGGAATTTTCTCTTAATCGGTTAATCCGTTATTGTAATACCTTCCTTGGTGACCAGCTGTTTCCAGAATCATGACCCGCTCCAGACCCGCTTCCGTCTCCTCCTTCGGATGGACTGTAATATGATATCGCAGTCCGGCCACCGAATCCCGGCGACGACCTGCACGCCGTGAAAAATATCTCGTACGCAGCTTCCCGGAAATCATCCGCGTCGAGGCCGTCAAGCCGTCCGAACGGCCACTCCGGGTTGCTCAGGCATTCCGCGGCGGGCCGTTCGGCGGGGTTATTGGTGACGCGGATACCGTTGACCATGGCGGTTGATGGCGGCATGCTGACTCCGGCAAAGAGGGGGTCGTCAGGTATCCGGCGGAAGAGACAGGAGAGAGAAGCCGGCAGGCATAATATTCTTATTTTCCTCCTTTTCTTAAGGTTATTTTCTTGGGAAAAAATGAGCGTAGAGAAAAGGGAGGGAAAGATCGAAAAGAAGAGAAATGTGCGAAGAAAACGTGAAGTCAGAGGTTATCGTACACAAAATTTTACTAGCCAGAAAGCCATAGGCTTAATATTAGAAAATATCCCTTCAAATTGTTTCTGTTATATAGAAGACAAAAATAATGTTTCTCATAATTTCACAGCAAGGTCTTATTTTTTATAGAAATTGTAAAAACGTTTTGAAATTACAAAATAGGACTTTCATGTTTTTATTCCCTAAATAGGAGTAATTCTGTCAAGTTTGAAAAACAAATGTCATGTTTAAAGCCTAGTAATATCAAACTTGGTAGAAATTTACTCCTATTCAGGAAATAAAAAAACATGATAATCCTATTTTAGAATTTCAAAACTTTTTTACTCCTATTTAGAGAATTCTCTCTACACGTGTCACTTTGCAGCGCTCCTAGTTGAATGAAATCAGTGTTTCATTTAAAACGCTATTATCCAAACGGGGTCGTGAATGCGTGATGATTACACATTAAACTCATACATGATTATCAGTGTTTCTTCTAAACTCATTTTCATGTGCATATATAAAATATAGTCTACACAGATAACATTAAACATAATAATTAACACATTGTTTTGTAGTTTGCACGTAAAATAATTACATGATTACATGTAAAGCTTAAGGAAATAATTACTTTACCTGCAAAATAAATAACATTGTTTGACTATATGTGCAATTTATATTTCAATTGCATGTAAAGTTATTGCAAGGTATTTTATTACTTTCTTCCAATGTAAAGTTTTTTTGCATGGTGTTTTTAAAAAATATCATAAAGTTTACTTTAAATAATCAAGTCAAACGGTGTAAACATTTTACTTCTTTACACTTCACATGTAAAGTAATTATTTTACCTTCTACTAAACACACCCGTGAAGATTAAGTAACCAAATCAAATTATATCAAATTTAAAAGAGATATATTATCATAAAATCATATTAAAGCAAGATTTAATAAATCATGAGGTGACTCATCAGGGTGTTTTTAATTTGACTAGGCTAATTTCAGTCACACACAAGACCTGATCAGATCAGATTTAAATAGATCAGATCAGACCAGATCTTAACCGACTAGACTAGACAAGACCTGATTTCGACAGTTGTAAAATACATAGAGATCATAGATCTACCAAACTTAAAAAGACTATGCCAGATCAGAAATTTCAGTACAAAAACATCCTAAGTTGCATGTACAAAAACATCCTGATTTCTCCTAACCTATTATTCCTGAATTCTATTATCACACAATAAAATTATTCCTAGTATGTCTTTCACAGGGTATTTTACAAAATTATTTATTCATAAATTCTTAATCTCGCATGTACAAGTGTTTTACTACTATTCAATTATGTGCCAATAGTTTCATGTAGTGTTAATATTTTCACATGGAGTAGACATTCTAATATTTGACTTTTATTTCTTCTTCTACAGTTCTACCTCATGCAACGTACTCCCTACATCCCTAAAAGAACTTCCAACTTTCTCTTTTCGTCTGTCCCAAAAAAAATCATTTTCCCCTATTAACAAAAAATTTGTGGTTCACAGCAATATTTACACATTCTTACATCTTTCTCTTTCTTTTTGCAAACTCTTCACCATATAATTCTCACTTTCTTAATCCGTGTGACATTTGTACTACGGAAGAACATTTAGGGACGGAGGGAGTAATATTTTGGCTTTTATAGTACGTGACTACGTGTTAAGTTTTTCACATATATTGCCTTGTTTTCTCCCCTGCGAATTGAAACTTTGGAAAATGTTTTCGATCCCAGCAATTGTTAACTTGTGCCAGTTGTAATCGGAATTTTAGAATTCTATGAAACATAAAAGTGATAAAAATTGGCGATAATTTGGGTGATTTTTTAATATAGCAAAATTTATGCAGTTAAATAAGGAAAAACTTATTTTAAAAATAGTTATACGGGCCATATAGGGATCAATAACTTGACTTATGAGTATAAGCCTCTGGGGACATGTCCAATCCATTTTCTAAAAAGACCAGCTAGCTCATCCTAAATCGGTCACTCACCAGGCCACTATTTGAAGGGGTCAGTTTGAGACAGGGTATTTAAAACATGGCCCTGCTCATTGGACCAGCGTGTCATGTTCCCTTCCAGGCCAACCTCTTAACCCCAAGTGAGCCCAACTCAAAAGCACCAACTATCTTAACACACAGCTTATTAATTAATTGTACATTAAATATAATAATTAGTAATATATTGCAAGAATAAGTGTTGTATTTATCATCTCCATTTCAAAAGTGTCATGTAAAAACTTAGCAACAAATAAGTGTGAATGCATTGTATTTTGTGACAAATAAAGTGTCCTGTAAGAATGTTTAGGCCTAGCTCTTTTAGTGACACGTGGCCAGCTAAACCCCTTAAGCTAATCTATTTTTTTTATAATATCTCAGGTGTCGGGGCTTACGTTCACATAACCTGAAGTCTATGAACTACCCTCCAAAGCCCCTAGACAGTTAAATCTGAATTTGATCACAGTCAGTCTCGTCAATACTTACATCACCTTTCAGGCTGCTCCTCCCACCACACGAACACGCTACCTTCATTACCATCATCTCCCTTCTCACCCGTTGAGCAACTCCGTGAAGGTAGGAAGAATCATTAGGAGCAAAACCTCCCTCCTCTCCCCTGAGTGGGAATTGAACACAAGATCTCCCACAAAGGAGAGACTTGGGGGTGGATGATCATCTATTGGACTACACTCACCTTCCCCCTTAAGCTAATCTACTCCAATGGTTAGCGGTGTCTTCTTCGTAATTATCTTCCTAGCTCGACCATCCACATAAGCAATTGCAGCAAAATTACAATCTACTCCAATGATTAGCAATATCTTCTTTGCTTGGTGTACACATTTTACTTTGCTAGGTGTACACATTTTACACATGTCTGTCCCCGGCAGTGGACCGACAACTTGTCTGCTGGGGACAGACACGTGTACACAAAAGGTGTACACATTTGGTGTACACCACGCATTTTTCCTCCAGATATCACTTTGTCCATCCCAAATTGGATGGTATAGAGTATAGACTGATAGCATGTCCGGTAAGAGTTTAGCAATAGTAGAACAAATGCAACCAGATAAATATTTTCAAAATGTATAAGTTCGCGAGGAAATTGAAAAAAATAGTCACCAGAAGTCCAAAACCACAATATTACAGTGCATCACGGACCAAAAGCATAAATAAGCCAATGAAATAGGGTATACAAACAACACCGACAAAATATAGCTCATAATGCATTCAGTTGAGATGAAAAGAGAGAAAAAAGTATAAATAATGCTAAGTAATTCCCGAAAGACTCATAATTAGGTGGCAACCGAAGTTCAACATAGAAGTACAATCATATATCTAGAAGCACAGTGAAAAGCCATGAAAACAGCTTTCTCTAGTAAAATAGATACTACAAACATATGACAAATATAAAAGCTACTGCATAAAAAGAACCATATAATGGCAATGGAAAAAAACTTAGTGAGAAAACACTCACTACTGTTGGACCAGGCATAGACTCAAGAAGCCCAACTGATCATACATTCAACCACTGACTACTGTTGAGATTGCCGACCCGGTATGCTACTGTAGTTGCTCCCATCGTAGTTGCTTTCATACCCTACCCGGCCTCCGGGGGTCCCATTTGACCCATAGTTGTTAGATCCATAGCCTGCTGCATTTCCATATCCATAACTTCCAACAGCATTACCATATGCTCCTCCACCATAACCACCCCCATAGCCCCCACCACCCCCTAACATCTCCCCGGCACCACCACCAGCTGGTGAGTTTGTTCTCGGACCACCACCAACACGTCCAACGTTTCCTCCATACCCTCCTCCATAACCATACCCTTGACTCCCATAACCCGCCACTCCTGCAGGAGATTGACCTGGAGCTCCACCCCCACCACCACCACCAGGAGTGGCATTGGAAGTACCCCAAGGTGCGCTTCCATAACTACCCATACTTCCATATGCGGCAGGACCCTGAGAGCCCCATGAACTTCTTGGTCCACTACCTGGAGCATTTGGGTTCACGTAGCCACCATAACCCGGGGTGGGAGCACCAAAACTTCCATAACCACTTCCATAACCGATTCCATTGTTAGGAGGAAATCCATAACCTCCAGCAGCACCAAATCCTGAGGAACCATAGGCAGTGGCACTGGCAGAATACCCCCCTCCTCCTCCTACTCCTACTCCTGTGTTTTGTGATGACATGTACCTGTTGGAATCTGGTTTATTACCACCATGCCCCTGATAGTTACCATTACCACCCGTGGAACGGCCCCCAGAGTTAGAGTTGTTAGAGTCCTTGGGAAAAGCACGCTTGACTTCAACTTGCTTACCACTCAAGTCATGGAAGGTCTTATGTAAAACACGGTCAACTGCGTCTTCAGAATCAAATGAGATGAAACCGAACCCGCGAGGTCGGGTTGTTTGCTGGTCAAACATAACCACCACATCGGTCACATTCCCATAGGTCTCAAAGTACCGGCGGAACTCATCCTCAGTCAGGGCGGGCGGTAATCCCCCGACAAAGATTTTCTTGGTCCGGTTATTGCCACCTCCTCCTCCATAACCACCGCCATTGTTGTTGGCGTTTCCGGGTTTCGACATATGTTGCTCCTCTCTTGGCAAGGCCCGTTTCGCCTCTACCTATATAGGCACACGAAAAGATAGCTATTTATACTAGAAATATTAAATTCTATTTCACGATAAACAAAAATTCTTATATTTGCCAGGTTTGAACAATAACAATTAGCAGTTGAATAAAAGACAATATTAAACTCCCTCCTGCATACCTAATTCCAAGTTTAGGCATTTCCAAGTGGAAATTCTAAACAAGAAAATGCCTAATCTGGCTGTCAAATGTAGGTGTAAAATAAATTCATACCAGAACTATATACATGATTAAACTAAATTCCATTACGGCTCATCGAAGATGACCCAAGATCAATTTCAAGATAACTGAAGTCCATACCTTAGACACATTTGAATCGCCATAAGCC